GTCAGTAATGACGGTCCGGCTGTTATTTTGTAAATTAGGGTAGGGGTGATAAACAGGTCAAGTGCTGGAATAAAGGTAGGTCCAACGATGTCGAATTTAAGTTGACTGTAGGATAACTGTTACGTATTATTGGTTTCCTTGCTATAAAACGGGTTTGTTCATAAAGGGTTATATACAAAGGATTTTAGTGAGAAAATTTGTAATTCACACAACATTAGTTGTTGTCAACTCCCAACACTTAGTCTTTGATATTTGGTACACACTTAGAAAATGGTTATAAAAACTCAATCATAGTGATACTCTTTATGTAATAAAGTTATTATTCGATTTAATAAATATATTGAAATAAAAAATTAATGTCTACAGTAATTTTGTGTAAAATTGGAATAAAAAACAATGACTACGAACGGGATTCAATTGAAATACCACAGAATAATTGTTTAATTTCCTGGGAAAAGTTCAGTAAGTCGTACAGCATCATTAATTCTAAATTAACAATAAACGTTTAAAAATCAAAAAATATTAACTAAAGCTAAACAATTTTTAACACTAGGTATTCTTAGTAAAAAAAAACGCAAATACAAATTTGAAAATTATATCTCAGTAGAGTCGAAATACTAATTTAATAAAAACAAAATTATTTTGTTGCTTACTGTTAGTTGATTTCTCTTGCACTTTTCTCCGTGAAAACGATTTTATTGGTTTCGCTCATACAGGGTGGCCCACCACTCACTGACAACTTAAATAACTTTTGATCCAGTTAATATTTTTAGTTGATTTTTTTTTTAAATAATAGTTATACGTTAGGTCTATAGCTATATCTCAATAATTAATTTTTTTACATTTTATTAAAAATATTAATTATTTTTAAATTTTAAATAAAATGTAAAAAAAAAATCTAAGATAGCTATTTTGTAGAGTAGAATTTAAGAAAAATTTTAGTAAAAAAATATCTTATTAATATTCAGTAGTAAATATTCTGTAGCGTTTTGAAGTTTGTGAAAATTTGAATTTTCATGTACTATTTTACGGTATTAAACATTGAAATACGTATTGAGAAAAGGACAGAAGAAAACGCTATCTTTTCAATATACTTTTGAATGAGAGTGATAAGTAATAATTGCCTTATCTAATTTCTTATCATGGTATTTATGCCAAGTTTGTAATGTATACACACTATCATCATATGTATACACAGTAATCATGAAAAGATAGCGTTTTCTTCTGTCCTTTTCTCAATACGTATTTCAATGTTTATAACCGTAAAATAGTACATGAAAATTCAAATTTTTACAAACTTCAAAACGCTACAGAATATTTACTACTGAATATTAATAAGATATTTTTTTACTAAAATTTTTCTTAAATTCTACTCTACAAAATAGCTATCTTAGATTTTTTTTTTAAATTTTATTTAAAATTTAAAAATAATTAATATTTTTAATAAAATGTAAAAAAATTAATTATTGAGATATAGCTATAGACCTAACGTATAACTATTATTTAAAAAAAAAATCAACTAAAAATATTAACTGGATCAAAAGTTATTTAAATTGTCAGTGAGTGGTGGGCCACTCTGTATACCACTGTAATCTACATGATACAAAAAAAGTGAAAAATCTGAAAATCCGAAATTGGACCACAATTCTAACTACTATGAGCGTTTAAAGTTTACCGCCAGCTTATCATCTTATTATACAATAAAACAATGAAAAATTGGCCAATATTAAACAAGTTTTCACCAAGCTTATCTAAAGTCATTCCAAAAGTATCCTGTAAACTTCGTTGAAATCTGTTAATTTTCGATCGATTTATAAGCTTTTTTGTTTTTTATTTTGATTTTATAAGAATAATTTTTAGTATGATATGATTTTACTTTACGCATCTCAATTTTGTTTAAATTTTATGTTAGTTTATGTAATTTTAACTAATAAACCGGAATTTAAAGATTTTTTTTAATGATTATTAATTTTTATTTCGTCTACCTGTAGTTCTGAATAATAATTAGTAAATTATTATGAGGTGTGGTTGTAAACGCACCTAAGTAATTTTTAGTTTTATTATTATTTTTTTAAATTACTATTTAATTTACAATCGGAACTAAGTTTATAGTAAAATTCTTTTGACATTAGATATTTTTTACACAACACGTATCGTTTGACCCAACAAAGATGAATAATCAAAGAATTATTAAAAAAAAAACATTCAGATCTATTGATTTTTGTTAATATCAAAATATCCTCATAACTAAACCCGAATTATGAGAAAAACTAGAGAGAGGTGATGCTATTAATTATGTATACAACGAATTTAATTCATAAATTAACTGTTAGTTTAATATTTCAACCAGACAAATTTTTGGGATAAAAATATCTTATTAAATAATATTTTGTTTATATCGGAAAGAGTCTTTTATTTTACATATCTATCTAAAGTTTTGTTGGTGATTTTATTTATTTTTTTATATTGAATATACTAATTGTTCTCTCTTGTAATAAAAAATCTGCGCCAGAAAGAACGTATAAATGTTGATTTTTTAATATTATCTTTTAAAGTAATAAATATTTAAAAAAAATTTTACTGGTACTAACTATGTTTAGTAAATTTGGTAAAATAAAATATTTGATGTTAACTATATTAAGCAGTAAAATTCAATATTTTATTTAAAATGTTAACTTTTATTTAACTATAAATAATCATTAATTGGAATTAATGTATACGTTAAGGATGAAAGAAATTTGTTAAATAAAAGAAGGGATCCGAACATAAACGGTAACTATATATTTTACTTTTTAATTTTTCTTTGTGAAGTTTTTGTTGGGATTTTTTAAAAAAATTTTATGAAAATAATGTTAATATGTGATTTAAAAATAGGAACTTCGAAAATTTAAATATTATACTTTTTAAAATCTGGTGTCAAACTTTTATAATGACATTGTGTGAAAGAACATTTGAAAAATACATTAAAAATGAATACATTTTAAGTAAGCTTTTACTAACCTACACTTGTGTATTTAAATAAATACTATTTTTTTTTCTACGCATAACTTTATGTACAGTTGTAATGACAGTAAAATGCTCAAGTTCTACACAACTTCAAACTTTTTTTTTGTGAAATGTAAGGTTCTTATCTAAAACTTTGGCAAAACAAACTTTTTTACTCATACACACATTAAAGGAAAATTTAAACTTGTGTTTGTAGAGGTATTATAAATATCGGCCACTGCGATAAATCATCTCCACGATTCTTAAGATTTTCTTTCCCCTTCAGCATTTTCGTCTTGTGTAAGAATATTACTATAATACTTGCGTTCGTCGTAGTCATTAATCTCCAGGCAAAAATTACTTACGGGCCACAGATGTTGAGGTCGGTTTTCTTGCGTTTTCCATTATTCATTCCCTACCACCGGCAGCTCCTCACCAAACGCTGTACGGGGGACCGACAATATTTTCGCCGAGCAAAAAACAACGCCAAAAGCAATTCGGTTAAGACGATGAACATCGTCTCCATTGCCCTCCAGTCTATAGGCTTGAGGCGGAGGACGACAGCTTCATCGACCCGTCGTTGTGTTACCATTTCATTGGGTGTCTAACCCCGCCCAGTATAACGAAACCACGCCCTGATATTCTCTCACTCACCCTTTTAGATGTTCTGAGAGTTATTGATGTTTTTAGTAGTATTTAAACGTATAGCGGCGACTGGAAACTAACACCTGATGTAAAGGTTTTCGTTCAAAACTTAAAAAGAACCTTTTCTGTCAAACCTATACCTTAGCCATTTCCATTCATACACATTTTCATTTCATATTAATTAATTCTCATTACAGTATGAAGTATCGTTCATACCATATAAAGAACATTCGTTTATTATAACTCGCCTTAACGACAATGAGAACGTCGATAAAATACTATCATACTCTGAACTTCAGTGTATTGGTAATTTTTAACACGCAGTATGTTTCTTTATGAAGAACAATATTTTATTAAAAAAATAATAAAATCATGTCTCTCCTTATATTCTAGTTATTATTTTAGCGGTACACTAAAGTACTACAGTAAATTTCATTGATACATAAATAAAATATTTTTATTATAAAATAGTTGTGTTTAAAAATAATCAAATAATACGATCAAAGTCTCAAAAAAATTATAGAACTTGGTATTTTATGGATTTGTAAACTATAATATGATGTGCAATTATAAAAAGTACGATTTTGTTTAAAAAATATTTACTTTTATGCACACCCAAAGAAAAACCTCAATCAAAATTGAAAGAGAAATTTTATCAAGGGTTTATGATAATGTTTTATTAATACGAACAAAATAAGTATTCTTATAAATAATTATTGTTCAAGACAAGAAAAAAAAATATCATATTGATAAATATATCATTGATTCAATAGTAATGATATATTTATCAAATTGAACAATGAATTTATTATATAGATCGAGGTTTTTCTCTGGGTGCATGTTATTTAATTTTTTTTACTTAATCAAATTTAATAACTATACTTTATCATAAACCGTTCAATTTATGTTTTTCAATAGATGAATTTAGATTGATACTGAAATAATTGATCAATGGCGTCAATTATAACAATATTATATATAAATGTTGCATACAGTTGAAACAATTTTGTAGATCTATTGCTCAATTATTATATTTACTGTAAATTTATGTAATTTTTATCTGTGTTTTAAGTACTATGTTTACCATTTAATATAAAATTGTAGTGGTATATTTGGCTGTCAATAATTCATATTATCAATTTAATTAAATATATCTATTCAATATTCTATATACTATATACAAATATACACAATTAGAAATCCGTAAATTCGAATATTTACCAACAAATAGTGCAATAGAAATTTTGATTATATTAATCATTAATGTTTTTTTTTCTTTGACAAATTTCTATATTTTTTGTGCCCTTCGATGAAAGATCGCCTTTGAATTCCCTTAAGTTGTCATTTTAAAAATAAAACACATTTTATTTTTATTTTGTTGCATGCCAAATTTTTGTAATTTTTCACCATCCGGTTGTTATAACGATTTTTAATAGTATTTGTATTTGAAATCAATTTGCTGCAGTTGCTACTGGTATCCGTCGGTCATTCTCCCCTAAAACCCGTACAGGTATTACTACTAGCTCTATTATACACCTCCAGTCTTCTATAATACCGAAAAAAACCTGTTGCTTATGGCATTACTAAGTATTGGATCAATTCATAGAATTAAAATGATACATTCGCTTTCTCACAATAATAATATTCATAACAATTTCAATGACAGTGGCCGTGGGACAGTGAAATAATATTGGGAATCGTGATCGGGTTTTCGCCCTACCCGGTCAGGTTATAATTGTGTTGATCCACAAGTTTGTTGTTGCTGAAGACAAAACCTGTTCGACTGGCCGCGACCGATATCTTCCCCAATATCGTGTGATTTCTCACGACCATTCTAAAAGGTCTCGATTACCTTTATAACATTTTGGTCAGTGGTAAAGTAGGTACTAAACTGAGCGATTCTTAAACTGTTTTTCGAAAGCCAATAGAAAATTAAAAAAACCATGAATATGGTTATATGGTCATAGTCATTGCCAAACTTGGTATTATTTTTAGTTATGTGATAAAACCTCAACATAATAAGAACGATTTCAGTTATATTTGGGACACGCATAATTGTTTTTAAGTAAGTATGTCATGAGTTTATACTTTAAATATAGAAGGTATATAAATATTATGCCGTTAAATAGAATAATTTATTTAATTACTTCATTAAATATGAAAGACTTTCAGTAAAAAGAATTGTTTCGGATAGGAAAATTAGTGTTGAACAACAAAAATTGTGATTGACATATGATTTTATACCTCGTTTTTTATAATTGTGTACAATTATCAATATTTTTAATTTCAGATGTGAGAATTTGAGTTTATAATGACTTTATGAAGAATAAAAATAGCTAATGATATTTGACTGATCACACTGCTGGCGAAAACTACAAAGTATTAAGACTTTCAAAAAATCAATGAAAATTTCAATCTTATATAATTGAATTTCATTTTAATTGACATTAAAATGTAACTTTATAATCTTTTAAATACTTAATAGAGGTATTATATTTTTTATTTTTTTTAGATTATTATGATGAACATTAAAAAAAAAATACAAGGACTAAACGTACGTTGTTCAAAATTTTATAGCTCAACACAAATAACTGAAGAATTCCGTACTTAGAAATAAACATATATAATTTCTAGGCTTAAAACAAAAAAATACTATATAGTAATGATTAAATGGACTTATTCAATTAAAAATTAAGCGCATTATTTCGTTTAGGTCGAGTTAAGGAAATTGGTATAAAAGAAAAATAAGGGTTTTATAAAATTAAGTCCATCAGGAATAATTAAGAATTAAATTATAAAATTTCAAAATAATATCAGTCTGCTTCAAAACTACAGTGCAATGAACTTTTTTGGTTTGTAGTATTTCTATAATATTATTTACAACATTTAGAAAATATTTATATAGGTGTTAGTGAGTACTATTAATGTTTAACAACGTTAGTAGAATTTGTAGAACGTTAACAATAAATAACATTTAATGTGATAATTTTTACTAATAAAAAATATCCAAATTAAAAATTAAATCATTAAAAAAACTTATCAGAATAATTGTTTTTGTATTCAAACTTAAAATCTCTAATGGTATTGAAGTTGTACTCTGCTATATCGTAAGATACAAAGCCACTCCCATTTTTTTTTCATGCGATCAATATATTGCTTTGGCAATAAACTTTTTAATCGTACTTATTTAACTTATCATTTTACTTATGGTTTCTACAGTATTTTATTATTTAATATTAAATACTAAGTAAGAAATTTCCTTGTTTTTTTTTTGTATGCAGTGTGATTTATCGAGTATACTACCCCTCCCTCATTTGCTTCATGAAATAATAATTTTTCAATGACAATGTACAGACTAAAATTGTAATAAAACATTTTTTCTAAAGAATTATTTTAGAGGCATTTTTAATAGTTAAATTGGTATCTATTGCTAATTTTGAGGAGTTGGGTAAAGTTTAGAAATGTTCTATTTTTAGCATAAAGCATAAGTCATAAGCATCTCTTTTACGCCTTTCACCCGGTACTCCAATAATTAAAAAAGAAATAATACAAAACTGGTTATCGACCTGTTCACATTTCTTTTTGACCATTGTCCATTTAATAGTGAAAAATTAATAATAGGTTCTCATTCAACATTCAACAAATCCTTAGGAATAATTTTTTCTTGCAATAAAATTTATGTTTACAATGATCAATAAAAATAAATTAGATTTTAATCTATACATTTTTATGAAAAAAATATTATTTAACGGAAAAATGGTGTGTAATACACTTAATAAATCACACTAAAAACATGTACAATGTTATACAGTATATTGTTACATTAAAAATTTCATGAAATTTGACAAAAGTTATAAAATTACAAAAACTAGAAATAGTATTTTTATATAAAAACCAATTACATAAAACAATTAAAACTTGAAAAATCGTAAACAATCTCAAAATCTAAAATGAAAATAAATTTTAATGAATTTACATTCAATAAATAGAGTTCTAATAAATAACAATTATAAAATTATTATCCATATTTTTATTATTATTCATTCTTTTTTTTTTTATCTAATATTTTTTTACGTGAATGAAAATTTCTGTTCTCAAATAATTATTTATTAGCAATATGAACTACAAATTTGGAAAATTGAACCTCAACATTTCTATTCACTTTTATATATCTTTCATATAATATATTTTTTTTTACTTTTCAAATTATTATTCGTTAGCAGTACGAACTATAAATTCGGAAAATTTAAACTCAAAATTGACTGTTCAAATCGGACTCGCTCTCTTGTTTTTTTTTTTTTTTTTGTCTGTTTGTTTTTGTTTAGTTATGTAATATTAAGTTTTAACCCTTGTTGAAATTAACTAAGCTTATAGTTGGACACTACTTATCGTAACTCAAAAATTCATAAAATAAAAAAAAAGTGGCGAAATATACTGTTGAGAGAGAGAGTTACTTTTAATTCGAGGTGTGATCCGAGGGTCATAAAATAGCATAAATATCGACTCATATTGATTTTAAAATCTTACCTGATCATTTTTACTTAGTTCTTATAGTATCTTAAATAACAGTTTTAATTGATAATTGATAAATAAAATAACACAAATCTATGTTGAATGTTTCTCTAAGTTGTTTATTTATAAATTTTTGATTGAAAAAGATTTATGTTTTCTAAGAATATAAATATAATGTATAAATAGAAGTGGTGATTATTTTAAACGAAAAAATAATAAGATATCATTATTGTGGACACAAACAGGCTAGCTTAGTGTTATATCATGTAAATGGTAGTGACGAGTATATTACGATATTAGTATTAACACAAGTCATGATTTCTATCTACAACGATAAAACTGTTAATCAAACACCATTATTGATTGCACAATGAAATAAAAGAGCGTCTTTGAATGAATCATAATGATAATAATGATAACAATAACTTATCATAATGATAAGTTTGAAAACCGTATTCTAAATCAACCCTTTTTACTTNTCATAAGCATCTCTTTTACGCCTTTCACCCGGTACTCCAATAATTAAAAAAGAAATAATACAAAACTGGTTATCGACCTGTTCATATTTCTTTTTGACCATTGTCCATTTAATAGTGAAAAATTAATAATAGGTTCTCATTCAACTTTCGAAAGTTATTTCATATATCTATCCTTAGGAATAATTTTTTCTTGCAATAAAATTTATGTTTACAATGATCAATAAAAATAAATTAGATTTTAATATATACATTTTTATGAAAAAAATATTATTTAACGGAAAAATGGTGTGTAATACACTTAATAAATCACACTAAAAACATGTACAATGTTATACAGTATATTGTTACATTAAAAATTTCATGAAATTTGACAAAAGTTATAAAATTACAAAAACTAGAAATAGTATTTTTATATAAAAACCAATTACATAAAACAATTAAAACTTGAAAAATCGTAAACAATCTCAAAATCTAAAATGAAAATAAATTTTAATGAATTTACATTCAATAAATAGAGTTCTAATAAATAACAATTATAAAATTATTATCCATATTTTTATTATTATTCATTCTTTTTTTTTTTATCTAATATTTTTTTACGTGAATGAAAATTTCTGTTCTCAAATAATTATTTATTAGCAATATGAACTACAAATTTGGAAAATTGAACCTCAACATTTCTATTCACTTTTATATATCTTTCATATAATATATTTTTTTTTACTTTTCAAATTATTATTCGTTAGCAGTACGAACTATAAATTCGGAAAATTTAAACTCAAAATTGACTGTTCAAATCGGACTCGCTCTCTTGTTTTTTTTTTTTTTGTCTGTTTGTTTTTGTTTAGTTATGTAATATTAAGTTTTAACCCTTGTTGAAATTAACTAAGCTTATAGTTGGACACTACTTATCGTAACTCAAAAATTCATAAAATAAAAAAAAAGTGGCGAAATATACTGTTGAGAGAGAGAGTTACTTTTAATTCGAGGTGTGATCCGAGGGTCATAAAATAGCATAAATATCGACTCATATTGATTTTAAAATCTTACCTGATCATTTTTACTTAGTTCTTATAGTATCTTAAATAACAGTTTTAATTGATAATTGATAAATAAAATAACACAAATCTATGTTGAATGTTTCTCTAAGTTGTTTATTTATAAATTTTTGATTGAAAAAGATTTATGTTTTCTAAGAATATAAATATAATGTATAAATAGAAGTGGTGATTATTTTAAACGAAAAAATAATAAGATATCATTATTGTGGACACAAACAGGCTAGCTTAGTGTTATATCATGTAAATGGTAGTGACGAGTATATTACGATATTAGTATTAACACAAGTCATGATTTCTATCTACAACGATAAAACTGTTAATCAAACACCATTATTGATTGCACAATGAAATAAAAGAGCGTCTTTGAATGAATCATAATGATAATAATGATAACAATAACTTATCATAATGATAAGTTTGAAAACCGTATTCTAAATCAACCCTTTTTACTTCAATAAAATAAAAAAAAATACATTTTTTATACTCACGTATTAATGAAACGTTAATATTATTAAATTAAGGTTATATCATTGTAAAAATTTCTAGTTGGCATTTTAATAATTTAATTATTTCAATCGTATAGAAATGTTGTATATAAAATTAAAATACAATTTTATAATATTTTTTATTCCTTTAAAGGATTATATAAAGGTAAAAATAATAATATAATTATGAAATTAATATCTAGGTATGTTGTTAGCTATTTAACATTATAAACGCTGTTTTCAACTTGGGATTTTCCATCACTTCCTCCAAACTATGAATAATATTAAACAGGTACACATCGGCTTAAACATCCATACAATATGTGTATAGCCTATTTTTGTTACTTTTATAAATAGAATAAGAAGCTTACAGTCCTAAGATTTTGGTAATACTTTGATCAATTTTATATACTTGATAATTAATTTAAGGATATTCCGCCGTTGTCAATGCAATACCATATATTCAAAGAAAGAAAAACAGAAAGAGAAATTTATGCATTGCAATTTCCGGAAAAAAAAATGCTGTAAGGTAAACACCATGCATGATATTTATAATCCAAATAGATTACAGGCGTTAAAGCAAGGTCATGTATATGAGTGATTTTTATTTATATTATGAGGCATTTTTAGGACCAGGCTAACCTGTTTGGTCGTCCTTTGAAATTCCATATTTTTTAATAGATGGATGCTGATTACATCATAATTTTGAAAAATGTCAAGCCACCATTTAAAAACAAACCCTTTTTCAAATATTTAGTATACCTGATAAACGTTGGTCTTGGGATTTTGTAGATCTTTCCTCACTCAAATATAAGAATATTAAGATAGAAATCTTCTGAAAGATTCACATCATCTTATAATCAAAAAGTTGTAATTTTTTAATTAATTTTCAATACGTAAATTAATTATTCTTAAGTATATACGTTTTTATTTAAAAAAATGAAGTTGATTATTCTAAGGGTCCACCTATAGAACCACAGTAAATATTATAGGAATATACTATTTTCTTATTTGACAAAAGAAACAATAAAATTATTTTTTCGTATGACTAAATTGGGAATAATTTCATAAATACTTTGACATTTATATTTCTTTTTTAATTACAAGTATTTATAAACATATGTAAAGAGTCCAGAAGTATTTGTTCAGGATAACGTCATCATCTACAAATAAAACATTTAAAAATAATAGTTTTTTACGTGATCTCTTCCTTATTAAAAATTGTTTATTGTAAAAAATTAAATTATTTAGTTGTACATCAAATGTACTTTTTGATTAGTGAAAATATGTAAAATAACATAAAAATAACTAAATTAAAAAAATAGATCATACGTTTATTTTAGGAGTGTAGATTGTATGTTTAAATATTATTGCCATCAAATTGTTTGCAGAAATCTCATAAAAAAAGATTAAACAGTTGTAACAGTATAATCGTTCTAGATAAATTTTTTTCATATAAAAGTTTTTTTTATCAAAAGCGAACGATGTTTTATATTTATCGTTTAACATTTCATTTATTTATAATGCCTAGTAAGTAATAACCATTAAGCCGATAACTTGTTTATCTTGATCAAAACTTGAAAAGTTCCACGTTGATTATGCCAGTCATTAAGTTTATTCACCATTTGCGTACACGTATTACCCATCATTTCAATAGTAAAGTTTTCTCGTGTGGCAACTGTACTACCACTACTTTGATTGAAAATCTGCCATAATTCTGTCTATACTATACGTTCTAAAGGAGAAAACAACAAAGAGATAGAGAGATAGAAAAAGAAAGAGACAAGGAGAGATTTTGACGTAAATGTCGTTAAAACTTGTTTAGAAAATTAAATCGCGTGCACGTCTATTCACTGTAGGTACAACTGGACGACAGGGTGTAAGAAGAAGGGAAGGCATTTTCCATGATGGCTTCTTCTTAAAATCTACCCTTTCTATTCCAGAAATGCGGGTGTATGAGGGGTGGATGTGGTAAGGTGTTTGTCAAGTAAAAGGGTGGAGCTCGCAAAGTATCTCCGACATTCTTATTGGCCACAATGATTTCCACATATACATGCAATGCACACTCTAAAGTATACATATATAAATGTACACATACACAAAGATGAGTTTTCCTACTTTCCAACATCGTTTCCTTCACCCCCAAAGTCCCGGGAATTTCGTGTTAAATTAGAATTTCCCGAAGCCCCCTGTCTTTTAGCTCTCTTGACGCGGTAGACAATTTAATAATGCACGCTAAGACAGCTCAAAAGTAGACTCGCAGGGATCCTTTGTCTTTACCGAGTAATCTGGTACCTTAATACAAAACCCGAAGACACCTCGTTGAAGCGCTTCTTTACGCATTTACTCCCCGTTTCGTATTCCTACCCTGCCTTTTATTTCATAGAAAACTATATAAATTCCATCACCATCGTATTAGCTGTCACCTCTATCTTGTAAAATAGCTCAGGCAAAATTCAAACTGTTTATATGACACTTTAATTAATACTTTACTCTAAGTTTTATTAAATACTTTCACAGTTAAAAACTCTAAAATAATTGAAAAAAATTATTACATCGTTTTAAAAATATAAAATAACCATATTGTAAAAGTATAAACTGAAAAAAATTAAAAGTAAAAACTGTATCTTGCCAAAATTATTTTTACATATTAATTTTTATTGATGCTATTTACTACTGAACACTAATAACATATAATTTACTTGTATATTGATCATTATCAAGAATAATATGCGATTAGACAATTAATAAAAATAATAATATTATACTTTTTTATTTCGGTTGTTAATATATTTCAGACAAGATTGTATCGTTTTTTGATGCGTAAATATTGTAATAATTAAAAATATTATATTGTGCTATGTGAATGTTGGATTGGTGTTGATGGGTAGATTAGGTTACTAGCTGTTTGTCTTGTAGGATTCAGGGTTAACAATAAATATACAGGGTGATCGGCTAATTATAAATCACTCAACTTTTAAAATAAATATAAAATTGAAAAAATAAGTTTTGTTTGTTATAGTTGAATATATTTCTCAATTTATTAGCTAATAATTACTTTTTAGAATCATCATTTAGAACACAAAAAGGGGTGAAACATTTATTTTTTATGACAACATATTTTACATGCTTATAATCACAAATACTCTAGTTAACAAAACAACAACTTTTAGACAAGTATTTTGGAAGTTTTTCTCATTTTTATTAATAGGCAGGATGAAGAATTCGGTCGGGAAATCACTAGTGATAAAAATAGTAGTATACACTTCCATTTCCAATCAATACTAGTTTAAAAATTGTTGTCAACCAGTCATTTTCTTATTTAGATTATTTTCTAGTTTATAAGCAAGTAAACAAATATGTTGTCATTAAAAATGAATAAAGTTAACACCTCTTTACGTTATTATTAGCTAATAAATCGAGAAATATATACAACTAAAAGAAACTAATTTATTTTTTTCAATATTGTATTTATTTTAAGAATAATAGAGTGATTTATGATAAACTGATCGTCTTGTATATATATATATTAATTTTTTATAGTTAAAAATAAACAAAACTGTGTTTTCCTCCAATTATTGTAGTAATATGCTAATAACTTACGAAAAACTAGTTTAAAAAATCCATCTACCAGTTATTTTCTTAGTTAGATTACTTTCTTATTTTTAAGCTAGTTAATACGTTTCCATTTAAAAAACCTAACGAGTTCTATTTAAGGGAGCATGAGATTATAGAACAATAATGATTTTTCAAAATTATAAATCATTAGATAATATTAAATTCTAGAAGAAAAAATAATAACATGTTTTATACTATTATAATTTGTATGGCACAGCATATCAATCGCCTCATATTGGCTCATTTAACAATACAAATTAAAGTCAGTTTTGATGAAATAATAAAAACAAGTTCTCTTTAATATTCATATATATTAGATTAAAATTTAATCTAATAGATTATTTTCCAAGTATATTAAAAACAAATTAAATTTTTTATACCATAATACATGTGTAAATAAAATCCGATTCTCGTAAAAACGTATTTTAAATAATTTATGCAGTGATAGTAAACAAAGGACCAACATTGTTTACTTAAGAGTTTTTTTTAGTTAATTTTAGCATTAAAAACTAATAAAAATGTATCATTAATAGTTGAAAATGATTTTCTAACAAGTAAATCTTATTTCATTAATCTTCTTTGTTGTTATAAAAAGACATTATAATTTGATGTATTTTAGCAATAAATATAGTACTACGTCGCAATAAAATATTCCCAAACTAAACAACGCAAAATAAATGATTTATCAGAAGACCGTTTTTAAAACTAAAATTATCATACAATCGTATATAGCTATTAATTTTAGCTTCGATGCGAAGCGGCGAAGGTATTAATTTTACTATGATGTGTTTTTTTTTTTTTTTTTTTTTTTTTTTTTTTTTTTTTTTTTTTTTTTGCCCTTTTT